CCGGACCCCCCGCCCCGGCCCCGCCGTGACGAGCCGCGCTCCCCTCTCCCCTAGGTTACGCGGGCGTGGTGCGGTTCCGCGGCGTGAGGATCGGCGGCATCTCGGGCATCTTCAAGTCTCACGACTACCGGAAAGGTACGGCGGGACGGAGCGGGGGGGGCAGCGGGGAGGGGAGAGCTGGGCCCGGGCCGCGCCGGGGCGTCTGGTTGTGCCCCCTGCCCTCCGAGCTGGCTTTTGTGCTGGAAGCCCCTCTTGGCTCAAGGCGCAGGTTCTTCTGGAGGTGGTGGAGGAGTCGGGAGCTGCCTGGTGACCGCAGCAAGAAGTGGTGTGTGTTTTAAATATTGTTGTTGGAACAGTCTGGACTTTCCCATGGCAGTGTCCTTTAGTGTGTAGTGCCAGACTCTTTAATTTTGTTTCTGTGACATCTGTACAATTTACGTGTGACACTCTACAAAGGTCCTGTCCTGACCTGAGAGTGTGTTGGTGCATCTCGAGATGGGCTCCTCCTGGTTATATGTATGTGCATTCCAGAGTTCTTCCTTGGAAAGGTCTCCATCAGCAGATGTAGATCTTCTCACAGATAGTACCTGGTGTCAGCAAATAAAAGATAATTTAGGTTTTCTCCTCAACACATGACTTGCAATAACTGCATAGTAATACTGCCTTTAGTAACATACTGCTTCAGAGAAGCTTTGCAGGTGGCTTTCAAGCTGCAGAGTAACAATCTGGTTTTCTAGGACACTCAATTCTGTCTAATAGCCATCCATGCTAATTAAATTTGTTATGAAACATGCAGTTTTTATGCCTGAATATTGCATGTGGGAGATGAGGCTTTTTTGACAATGATGCTAACTACTAAAAAAGTAACTTTTCTATTAGTTCTTAAGAGTGCACAGGAGCTCTGCCAGGCATCAGAGTGTTTTATCCCAAGACAAACTAGGAGACTGTCCCTTTTGACAGGCTGCACGTTGGGTCTGTGGTGCCTGTGGGCAGTTCCAGGCACGTTTCAGCTGCTGCTGGATCTGTTAAGCTGCAGTTTCACAGCTGGTGGCAGCACTCCTGCAGAAACACAAAAGATCCCAGCTCCGGTGGCCTGAGTGAGGAGTCGGATCTCATGGGCTGCTTTGTGATCGTTTAGTTTGTATCTCTGCCTGAGTTGTTACATCCTAACTCATGTTCTGATCACTGACCACTCCTAGAGGCTTGGTCTGTGCTCTCTGTGTTGATGCCCAACTTTTGCAGGTTCCCACCTACCTTGTGTTCTTTGGCTGTGCCAGCACGTTTGCACGTGTAGCCATAGCAGTAGCCACATCTGCAGGTGGCTGTGCAGTGAAACTGGAGCTGAGGGGTGTGGGGAAGTAATCAGGTGTGTTATCTCATCACAAAGGTACAAACCTCCTTCAGGAATTAAGCACATAAATCTTTTCCAGAAGTTACTTGGTTCAGACAGACCCTGGGTTTTAAGTATTCCACAGAATGAAGGAATGCTCATTGTTGTAGGAACCTTTTTTTTCAGTATATTTTCCTCACACAAAAAGTTGGCAGCCTGTAAAGGAAATACTGTAACTTCTTTGCTTAGTGGCAGCCTTGTACTTAGGGTTGCTTTAGGTGTGTGTATGACCCCAACAAATTAGCTGGCAAATCCTTTTTAGGAGGGAACCATTGCTTCAGGCAACTACTCTTTTTTATTTTCAATGTTTCAGGGCATTTTGAGTGTCCCCCCTACAACCAGCAAACAATCAGAAGTGCTTACCATGTGAGGAATATTGAAGTCTTCAAACTCAAGCAGGTTAGTGAAACATCTAATTTTTTTTTTTTTAAACAGTGGTAATTAGTTTTAATTAATTAGTCATTTGGTGGGCTTTGGTTGGGTGGTTTTTTTTTTTAAATTGGGTAAGATTCACAGAATGAAAGGTACTCCAGCTATACATCTCTGTTCCAGCTGGATGTTAGCTTTAGGAAGATGGATGCTCCCTTGTCTAACATGCAGGCTGGCTGGTACAAAGTTAACTTTAAAACTGAAACAGTTTTGATCCCAGGCTGATCCCAAATTTCTATGGTTGAAGTATTTTTGACTCCAGGGTGAGAAATTCAAAGGAGAGGTGAGATTTATTTTTCAGGTATTGCTTACTCCCTGCTTTCTCAGAGGGGCTGCTCCATGTGGCTGATGCTGTGGTGTGAATACCTGTTTATAAGCCCCTTGAGAATGATTATTCAGGCAGCAGTTGTGCAGTTCAGTGTTCAGTAGATCCAGGGGTGCTGGACATAGGTTTGCTGCCATTGTAAAGAGCTTGGTGCATTTCACTCTGTTTGTTACCAGATGGGTTTGGGTTTCATCTAAAAGTGTGTTCTGATACAGCTGGTGGAAATATGCTGAATACTGAACCAAGACATTAAATTTCTGAGGGGTGCTTCCTTTGAGGAGCAATGTCATGCTTAGCCATTGTCCCTTTTAAACAGTGCTTTCAGAATTCTCATGAGGAAGAAAATGCCTTAGATTGTGGGTAGGTAACTTGCTCTGTAGCTGTAGAGCCTTCTCTGGAGTGCCTGACACGTCCTGTGATGATGTGATCTCTTTTATGAGGTGTATACCAAACACAGCTGACTGTCCCAAGAAAGTGTAGCACAAACCATGGGGACTGGAGTGCCCTGACAACTTGAAAGGCCTCTTGAAAGATGGGGCTCAGTGATACACACAGTGACTTGCTTTGGTCACAGCTGCCTTGGTCTGAGGTAGCACACGATAGACATGTTCCATCCTGTGCTGTGTGATCCTGAAACTTCTGTGTCATGTTTGTTTATACCATGTGCATTTTGGCTTGACAGCTGAAGCGTCCAATTGATATATTTATGTCACATGACTGGCCCAGGAGCATTTACCACTATGGAAACAAGAAACAGCTTCTTAAAATGAAATCCTTCTTCCGTCAAGAAGTGGAGAGCAACACATTAGGAAGCCCTGCTGCTTCAGAGCTTCTGCAGCATCTGAAACCCACCTACTGGTTCTCAGCACATCTGCATGTTAAATTTGCAGCTTTCATGCAACACCAGGTAAAAGGGGGGGGAAAAAAGTCAATAATGTATGTGTCCCAAGCACATTTTGGAGTTCCAGTGCAGATAACCATGCCCAGAAAAGCAACTTCTCAACTTGCTCAACTATTAAAACTCATTTTAAGCTGCAAAATATTAAGTGTTATTAAGACTACTACAAATTAATTAGATCCCCCCTAAGTCTTCTCTTCTCCAGACTGAAAAGCCCCAGGTCTCTCAGCCTCTCCTCATAGGGCAGAGGTTCCAGTCCCCCAGCCATCCTCGTAGCCTCCACTGGACTCTCTCCAGTAGACCTCTGTCCCTCTTGAAATGGGGAGCCCAGAGCTGGACACAATACTCCAGGTGAGGTCTCCTCAGGGCAGAGCAGAGAGGGAGGAGGATCTGCCTCCAGCTTCCTGCTAGGCTTCCAGTGAAGTCTTTGTCCCTCCATCCCTTTCTTGTAGTCTCATGTTGATCTTTCTATTTCAGTCAGGTTTTTTTTCTGTATAAATTAGGCCTTTAAATCTCTATAGAATTTGTTTAGAGTGGTCAGCTTTCACAGAAATGCTAATGACTGTGTCAACACCGTTTGTTTCCTAGACAAACTCCAAAGAAGAGCTACCAAAAGCAACAAAGTTTTTGGCTCTGGATAAATGCCTGCCACACCGAGACTTTCTGCAGGTGAGGACCATGTGCAGTGGGGGGTCACTATTTAAGTACTTCACTTGTCTGGACTGCTAAGTGCTATGCTTATATCTAAGCTCTAGTTTTGATAGATGGAGGAATTGGAAAGAAACTAGGAATTGTGCATGTGTGGAATGGTCTTTGTATAATATTGTCTTGAAATAAGCAGGTCTTCTGTCCTGGCATGCAGGCAAGGTGTTTGCTTTGTCCTGCCATTTCCTTCCATCTTAGAACAAGCACTTGAGTGAGGTGGAGAAGTAGCTCTACTACTTTAACCTGGATTGAGTCTTCTCTTGTGTTTTTTTTTTTTTTTTTTTTTTTGGAGAGCCCATCTGAGTCTCTTCTTTCACAGTTTAGTTTGGGTCTGCTAGTACCTTTTCTTTACATCTGGATTCATGAATTTAGACAGAATTGAGTACTGTAATCTCTTTTCAGTATTGTGAATTCCAGCAGAAATTGGTGCATGTTCTTAGGAGAAGGGCTCTGCTTCTTTTTTGTTTGGTGCATGTCTTGGCTAGGAAGGGCAGTGGAGGAGTAGGAGGTCTAGGCTGTGGGAATTTTCAATAGGAGTGCCAAACTGATTTTTCAAGAGCTAAACAATGCTCATGCCTGTGGCCTGTGTGTGCTGCCTGGGGTGCCATCTGTAAAATCTCAGCTGGATGAATAGAAAATCCTTTGCTATGCAAAGAGCTGCTGACAGCATGTTCTTCAAGTGCAATCAAGTGTTTTAATAGTCCTACTTTAAAGTAGCTTTTATTTGTCAGCTTAAAGGGAACTTGGTTCATTATCTGTCCTTTGGATGTGTGGTGAGGTCTCTGTGCTCTAGTAGGTACTTCTGAAGATGGGAGAGAGTATGAGGGTGGGTTTTTGCTATACAAGGGTACACTGGGATGCTAGCCCAGACTTAAAATCCTGTAGCAATGATCTGGAATAGTGCTACCTCCAGCAATGTGGTGATCCAGCTGTGTGTAGTTCTGGTTTAAAGTGTATCTTTTTCCTATCTCCTCCCCTAAGCTACCTTAAAAGGCTGAATTGCATCATGGTTTTAAAATCAGAGCCTGAGTAGTGCAGTTTGACTAAACCAAATGGTTTGGTTTGGGTTAATGTCACTGTGACAAAGTGATTTGCATTTCAGTTTGTCAGAACATTTCATGTTAACTTCGTTGTTGTGCTAAGAATGCTTTTTTTATACAGCAGAATAATCGTTGCTATCAATTCTTGGTGGATTTCTGCTTAGAAGGCAGCATGGACTTTATATAGAGTAGGCAAATTCTGGTTTCTAAGTTGCATAACTGTCCAGTAGCTGGCAGTAGGGAGGAGGGTGTTCAGCTTTTTAATTACTGTGAGCTAAGATACAAAGATGCTTTTTAACCTTGGTTGGCTGCCCTTTCTTACTCCCTTATTGCTAACAAACTTTTAAGTAGGGCTGACTTGAGAGGACTTGTTTGAGACCACTATCTCAGCATCCTTGAAACTTAATTAAAACTCCATACTGTGAAATTAGCACTTCAAACTTTTAAACAGTTTCTGATGTCAAGAGAAAAAACTCACCTCATCATCTCTTTTCTGTTGTGTGTGGTTTTTTTTTTTTCTTTTTTTTTTAACAGATAATAGATGTAGAGCATGATCCTAATGCAGGTGACTCACTGGAGTATGATGCTGAGTGGATTGCAGTCCTCAAGGCCACCAACAGCCTTGTTAATGTGACTCAGAGCTCATGGAACATGCCTGAAAACAATGGCCTCCATGCCAAGTAAGTCACATGCCAAGTGGAGAGGAAAGTGTGGGTTTGCTGAACTGGAAGTAAAGTTACCTTATGGTTGTGCTTCTCTGTTCTGCAGCCCAAAGTACTTGTAGGACTTGCTAAGTGCCTTGGAAAACAAAAGGGATGGTGACAAGAGCTGTAATGTGGGGTATACATCTTCTTTAGAACTCTACACAGGGAGTTGGTTTGGGTTTTTTTTGTGAAGGTGTATACCACAATTTGAGGGGCAAAAAATACCATGTAGCTGATCAACTTGCCAGTGAGGCTGAGGCTGTAAATTGGGCTGGACTATGAGAGCAGTGGGGTGAATGCTTATTGGAGAGGTTGTCATAATACACAAGTGCTTGGTGGGGAGAAAGAAGTCCTGGTATTGACCAAAGGTGATACTTTCCTGAAAAATCATTTGAGAAATCTGGTGTCTGTTGTAAGATGAATTTATTATCCATCTTTAGAAGTTTCTCTTTCTAGTTAGAAAAGGAAATACCTTTTGACTAGTTGCATTTAACTTTATATGCTTATTTAGGTGGGACTACAGTGTGACAGAGGAAGCCATCAAGGAGGTGTTAGAAGAGCTGAATCATGACCTCAAAATCCCTTGTAACTTCACACTGACAGCTGCTTGTTACGATCCCAGCAATCCCAAAAAAAACATGGAAGCAGTTCATACCATCAATCCCCAGACCACTGAGTTTTGTGCCCGGTTTGGTCTCACTGACATCAATGACAGGATCCAGCAAGCTAAAGGAGAAGGCTCAGGACGAGGTGAATACGAAGAGGAGGAGGAGGAGATGGACAGTACTGGGTCAGCGGAGGAACCCAGTGAATACAATACAGATAATTCTGGACTTTCATCCATTAATCCAGATGAAATAATGCTGGATGATGAAGGTGGTGATGAAGACTTGAGCACATGTTCTGTAGATCCTTCCCCTGACCATCCTCCTGACTTCTCTGCCAGCTTTTCAGACATCCGGATCATGCCCGACTCCATGGCGGTGTCGTCGGACGACGCCACGGACTCCAACAACGAGGAGCTGGAGAGATGTGGTGTCCCCAGCAAGCAGCTGGAGGAGAAGAGCTCAAATGAGAGGCCCCTGAAGCGTATCAGTGGCGATGAAAATGGAAACAGTGGCATTAAAATAAAGAGAAGGAATCAAGCCATCTATGCTGCAGAGGATGAAGATAAAGCAGAATGACACTTCACGTGACCTATGAATAGGTTCTCTCTGTACCTTTTTACAGGAAGGTAGTGAGAACTGTAGTGGACTGCTTGTGCTTTTAATGTTTCTTGATCTTATTCCTGTTACTTTCTTTAGCTGAAGAGGCTGTGTGTACCCCTTGCAGGGAAGAGTTATCCAGATCAAACATCTGTGTCAGAAGCAGACTTTGCCAGCAAACTACTTTGTCAATTGATTTAAAGCTTGTGCATAATCAGTTGATTTTTTGCTTCAGTTCTTGGTTGTTCGTGTATCCTATGTATCTTCAGCTGTACTGCTTTGCAAGATTCACCCTGCTTGTTTAACAAGAACTCTTCAACAGTCACTCAAGTCAAAGTGAGAGGATGGCTCACTTAGAAGACTGAATGATTTGATTTTATTGCTTTTGTCTTGTTTTATACTGAACTTTTAATACAACGTAGCATATGCAAAAACTCTGCGAAGTAAATTTGAAAATAGAATTCCCATGATAACAAAACAGCAATAGAAGCATGAAGATTTTTGTTTCTGGGGATATTCATGCCATAGAACAACTTCATGGGCATAAACAAAACAGTGTGTGTTGTCCTGTATTGGCTTTTAATTACAGTTTTGATAGGGAACCAACTATCTTAATTTGAAGCTTGATGGTTTTATGTGGACCATGGAAGAGTGCATCTCTCTTCTTAAAAACTCACTTGTGTGCTGTTTCTTAGAACTTGAGAACCACATTGTAAAATTAAAATGCAAGTAGTTGGGATGAAGAGCTTCCTAAATGTGGACATCATCATCACTGTCTCAAGTCTTACTAATTAAGGCTGTGTTGTACTTCCATGTGAGGTGTTTGTAAGTCTTGAGACAATAATGCCTGCCATTAGCATTAGCTGAAGTTTCCACCTCTCACTTCAGTAGTGTGTCACTTGTCAAGTTCTTATGACTGCATTTGGAATCATCCCAACTACCTTCATAAACTTCAGCTGAGGGAGAACAGGAGTTTCCAGAACATAGAGCTGCTTGGAAATATTCTTATTGTTCTAGTTTGCTCTGAGTTATCAGCAAAAAAATTACACTCCTTTGGCCTAAAAGGTTATGAGGATAACAAAACTTCCTGAAGTCATGAAATGACAGAGTTTAAGAACTGTAGCATATGTCATTAGACTTAATAGCTTTACAGTCTAATTCTGCTGACGTTCTGTGCTGAGCTTTTGGAGTCCAGATGGAGCAAGGCTTCGTCCTGAATCTGCTGCCCTTGGGAGCCTTTTACTCCTCTCACAGCACAGGCACTGTGGAGCAGAAAGCATCCTGACAAGAAAATGGGATCAGATGGGGAGCCATGGGAGAAATGGGTTGGTGAGTGAGAGTTAGGCAGCAGGGAAACAATTGAAGGTCAAGATTCTGCCTTTGAAATCACTTCCACATTCTGGGATTCATCTTGGGTTCCTCTCCTGTCAGCAATTCACTACGAAAACTAAATATGTAGAAGTACTTAAGAGCTAGAAACTTGCAAAATAAATCCTCTTCACAGTTCTGATGAATGGCTTTATACTGGTGTGTTGATGCCACTAACACCCTGAGTTTTGTTCAGAGGATGCTCTCTTGTTGACTAAGCTATTAGCTGGGCTCTCCTACTAGTGTGCCCACATCTCTCTTTGCCTGCTCATCTGTCAGAATACCCACCAAAGAGAACTGTGGTAAGATGGGGTGAGAAATGGGAAGGGTTTGGTGTGACCCTCAGTTATCTGAAGTACCTGTGAACTAGGTGTAACCCTCAGGTTATCTAAAGTAGCTGTGAACTATCAGCTGGATTACTGAAGATAGTTGAGTATCTTTAAGGGTCCTGAGCCTGCAATGCTCAAGTCTTAAGCATGTCTCATGATCTGAACACTATAATGGAAATAAAATATTTTAAGTATAAACTGTCTTATGAACTTAAAGTATCTCAAGAAAACTGAGCGTGGTATTCAGCTGCTGAATTTTACATGAACTGGAGTGGGAGATGTTTGTTACACATAATAGACTTTTTAGACTGACTTTGTTTCTTTTTTTGAAGCAAATTATTCTGTTATGTGTTGTCCCTCTTCCTCCCCTTTCTGCCAAATGTTTTGGCTTTCTAGAAAGCAGGAGACTTTGACAAGATAGAATACTGATATTTTTAATCTGTAAAGTTTTTTTAAAAAAATATTTCAGCCTCCATTGAGGAGTGCAGCTGGTAAATATACTTAAATATTTTTGGAGTACGAATCATGTCTGATCTCTAGAGTTACTGTGCCCTTTGTTGCCACTGTTGACACCCTCTGCACAGTTTGATGGGTCCAGTTCTACTGTGCTCTTGTCCATTACAGATTTTCCCTGTCAGGGGGATCCTCTGCTGCATGTAGAATTCAAGTGAAGATCTGAACTTGAAGATTCTCCAATAAAGAAGATTAAATGCTCCAAAATATATGTAAAACACTAGGGAAGGATAAAAAAGCTTAATTGGTTCTTAAGAACCAGAGTCTTCAGTCGTTTTTGAAAGGAAGCTTTAAAGTCTTTCTGAAAGCTTTGACTTTAAGTTTTGGTGACATACATATGAAAAAGGTTTCTCTGATGGACCCTCGTACCAGTTATAATCTTTTTTTTTTTTCAATTTATGAGACTTGCACTTAGTTTTAAAAACTTTTTTTTTTGCCATTACCTATAAAGTGCTTGAGAAATGTGTTCTGTTGTTTCAATCCAGGCCAGCACACAGGTATTTTGTTCAAAGCCTGTGATTAATCTACTTGGAGAAGAACATGCTAAGAAAAGGGGTACAGCTTGCTTTTTTTTTTTAATGAGAAGTGTTTTTTTTTTTTAATTAAAGCTATTAAAGTCCATTTCTGGCAGCAGCCCCAAGTATGATTATTGTGCTCCCATTATCCTCTGCAATCTCTTAGAAGCTCGCAAACCCACATGTACCTCACAGTAACAAAAGTTAACTGAACCCCTGACCTGATGTTTTTTACTGTGCTTCCCCCTCCTCATTTACTTCTGTCTTCAGAGCAACGAGTTCATGGAATTAGTATCTGCATGCCTCAAGGTGTAAAATACAGGGGCACTACTCCCAAAACATCAGATATAATTGAAGTCTATAGCCAAATGGTGACGTCCTGAGTCTTTCAGGGTTTTTTTTTTTCTGGAGAAAACTGTAAACAAACAAAATGGAAAACGCCAGAACTTGACCAAAAAGAGGAACTCAATCTATTTTGTGTGCAGCAAGGCAGGAGAGGAAGGGACAGGCCATGCCCGTGTCCCAGGTGAAAATTGTGCCCGAGTAGATGATCCTCAACAGCTCCCCAGCTCCACACACCTGGTGTGCCTGAATTGCCAGCTCACACCCTAGTCACACGTCATGTTCCATGGAGGAACCGAGGATGAGGATGTGTCAGGAGCACCTGCAAAACTCTGTCATTTGCACTCGGGGTATGAGGCAGCCGGAGCTCGCTCTGGTCGCTCCTAAGCGAACAAGGTCAAGCTGCTGAGGGGCTGTCCCGAAAGCCGTGAGCACGGGGCGGGCTGTGTGAGAAGCCCGCGGTCAGGCCAGCCTCAGCCGCCCGCACTCGGCGGCCCAGCCCCGCGTTCACCGCCTTCCTG